GTTACTCTTGATCATCTGTCCATCATCGTATAAAGCCCGCCCTGACAATTTGATTGGATCGCCTGACAGTGGGCTTTAATACTCGCGCTACTATGGAGCAGAGCCAGACCAAACCTCCCCGAACTCAAACCTTGTGGGCGGGACTAAGTTTGGACTGGCACCCAGGCTAAAGCAAATCACCCAAGGGTGGGGATTTTTTTTTTTTACATTGTTTATGGATGTCAAATTGCATAAAGAAAATTTATTTGGCCTTGCATTAACTTAAATAAATAAAAGCTTAGAAGCATTAATTGCAAATGATTGAGGATTAGGTGCTGTTACAATAAAGCCCTTTTTGCAAAGGATAAGCATTTTCTGCAAACTCCATGTAATAAATAAATCAAAATTGATTTGCACAAGATGAGAGGAGGTGGAATGGGGTTGAGCTGTCTTTGAACTTTTTAAAAAATAACAGAGACAGCTATTATAGATAGATATATATATAATAGTACTGGTGCTGGGTAAAATAATATGGCTAAAGTGACATGGGATTGTTGAGGCCAGGCCTGATGCTGAGAATATACTTTACTGAAGGAAACTACATCAAGCTTATAGAAATTTTAAGCCAGAGTTATCATATTTTGTGTATGTTTTTAAAGATTTTATATCTTTAATTTTTATATAATTTTTAAAGTTAACACTATGAGGCTTGAAGTTAATATTTTAAAGTGGCTTCATCACACTTTGAATTTGGCTCATATAGATTGACATAAACTATCTTCATTATTTTTCATTTCAGTACAATAAAATTATTGATCTACAGTATTGAAGTTAAAAGATATAAAAAATATTAGTCATGTTTCTGTCACATTGTTGCGTGGCATTAAGGGGAGTATCAACACTTTTCCAACTTAAAGTAATGGCGATAAAGATATTGTATATAGCCTATATGCAAGTCACAAACACAAGCATTAAAGAATGTTGGTCCTGGAAATATACCAATTACAGTGTTTAAATTAGCCTGAGACGATGAGGCTGCTCTTCATCTAGATTAAGTCGGATGTCTGATCAGTTGCAGCATGTCTATGCCTCATCTGTGCAGACTCTCTGCAGGTTCCCAAACATTGGAGGAAATAGCTAATCAAGTCTCAAAGCACTTTAAGAAGTTGAAAGCTTAACAAAATGTTTGTCAATACTTGTAAAACAGCATTTTTTCAGAGCATGCAATGAATCAGAAATAGCCTATAATAAGCAAGACATCTCTTATCCAAATCTATTAATTCAAACAATATAAATAAACTGCTAAAAGGCAATTAATAAAACTATTAAATGCAGGTGTTATAGATTTTATGTTACTACACTTCAATATTTAGGATAGAAGAGAAATACTTCTTAACCCTATTTGATTTAATTATTGATTTTCTATCACAGCTCACCCAGATATCTTATTAAGACGCACAAATAACACATTGATGTTCTGTTTTCTGCTTTCTGGATAAAATGAAAAATTACTTGTTTGCAATAAAACACTTATTAAATAGAGATATCTTCAAATACAGGTCAGCTAAAAGACATTTTAGTGTTACTTCTTTATCATTTTATAGGACAGATTAAAGTTTACTCACATTTACTTTCTTTGCAGATCTATGTGTCTAGTCATGTATTTATCTATTGTTATGTTATCTATGGAGAAAGTGTAAGCCCACTTTCACAGGAACTTTCAGACAGTCAGTCAGTTCTGATGTCACATTCTAAAAGTGTCCAAAGTACTGAACTATAATATTGGCACAGGCCGATCTTTTCTCAGTAGGGGTTGATTAACAGACAAATACCTTCATGCGCTTTGGCATAAAGCACACCCAGTTACTTTAGTTAAGTTTCCACTTGA